TCCCCCGTGTGTCCCCTCCACCCCGCCACATCCCGGCCATCCCAACCTGCCCCAAACTTTACTCATCACCCCCCGGTCACCGGGATGTTTTCGGCTCGGGCTGCCAAGGTGGCGAGCCGATATCCCGGGATCCGAGCCGGTTCCTGGCTCCCCCGGTGACCTCTGGGCTGTCACCGGCCGTGACTCAGCGCGGAGCGGGTTCCCTCGGAGGGGAAGGGAAGCTTTGGTGCCCCGTTCCCCGCGTGCGCTTTTGCTGGGAGTTATCTGAGGCATCTTATTTTATTTTTTTTTTTTGTCGGGATAATGACTCCCAGGGCAGGTTAGGACGGAGGAGCCCTGGCAGCGCAGCGTGTGTGGGCAGGACTGGAATAACGGGTGCCGTAGGAGAGGATTTACGAGMGCGGGGAGGTTGGGAATGGCCGGGAATGGCACGGCAGGTCAGGGGTGAGGTGGGATGTGCGGGGCCGGGATGTGGCCCGAGGTCCCGGCGGTGTCGCTTTGTCACCAACACAGGATTCCCGGTGTCCCAGGGAAGCCTCGCTGCTCCCGGGAAGTGTCCCAGAGAAGGAGTTTCTGTGCAGAGCAAAGCCGAGGTTTTGCCGTGGTGGAAATCGCCACAATCCCACCTGGGCCAGCTCTCCYAAACACCCGTGTGCCCAAATTATCGCGGTTTTCCCGGTGTGCCACACCAGACCACCGATGGCCTCCATGGGCAGGTGACAGCGGTGTCACCTGCATGCCGGGGCATTGTGGGTAGAGCCCCTAAATCCCAAATAACCTTTGGGACAGCCTAAATCCCAGCACGCTGTTCCCCCACACACCCCGGAAAAGTCAATCCTGAATGATTTTTACGTGGAAAACACTCAAAATGTTGGAAAACGGATCCCTGGGGGGAAGCGGGCACAGCCGGGCGGACAGGAGGGGTCCATCCCCTCTGAGGATCCCATTTYCCTCTAACTCCCCATTTTTTGTCCTTTCAGGGCTCGGATCTGAGGGTTGGGAAGGTCAAAGGGAAGGTCCTGACAGGTGAGTGCGGACCCCAAGGAGGGGAGGGGGAGCTGGACAAGGGGGTGGAGGTCCTGGCTGGTGAGGGTTGGGGTGGCTCAGGTTTATCCCCTCCCCCCTGTCCCCAGCAGGTCCCCTAAGCATGGGGGGATAGGAAGGGGTTTGGGGAGGATGGAGGGATGGGAAGGGGAATGGGGGAGAGCTCGGGGGGATGCAGGTGGTGATTGAGGGGCTGCTTTGGGTGGGCACAGCGGCCGCTCTGCCCATGGGTCAGCACGGATCGCCGGGGGCTGGGGTGGGAAAGCTGATCCCGGACGGGAGGAGGGCGAGGGGCTCCCGGTTCTGATGGGAATCCCAGCCCGGAGGAGGGCGAGGGGCGCCCGGTTCTGATGGGAAAATCGACCGGGAGGAGGGAGAGGGGCTCCCGGTTCTGATGGGAATCCCAGCCCGGAGGAGGGAGAGGGGGTCCCGGTTCTGATGGGAATCCCGGCCGGGAGGAGGGCGAGGGGAGCTCGATTCCAGAGGGAATCCCGGACAGGAGGAGGGCGAGGGGTCCCGGTTCCGGTGGGAATCCCGGCCCGGGGGATGCTCAGCCCTTCCCTTCCCCATCCCAGGCTACACCCGGCCCAGGCCCCCTCGCCGCAGCGGCTACCACCGCTACCAGTTCCGCCTGTACCGGCAGCCGGCGCGGGAGACCATCACCCTGAGCTCCGAGGAGGAGGAATCGCTGGGTAAGGACCCTCCATGCCCTCCATCCCCGCCCCGAGGGGCTTTTCCAGCGGTGTGGATAACGCAGAGTGTTCCGTCAGGCTGGGGATGCTCACAGGGGGCACGGGTGAGGGGTTAAATCCTGGCCAGGCGGCAGAAACCCCTGGAAAAGTGTCCGGGAACGGCCTGGCGAGCGGGATGGCAAGCAGGGAGAGATTTGGGCTGGGAAATGAAGCCCAGGCTGGCACATCCCCCTTGTCCAAACCGAGCCGAGCCGAGCCGAGCCGAACCGAGCCTGCCTAAGCCGAGCCGAGCCGCTGGAGTTGCATCACCCGCTCCTCGGAGCAGGAGGATAAGGATCAGCCCCGGAGAAGGTTTAGCAAGGCATTGCTCAAACCGGGCTGACACAACGCCCGCCAACTCCCAGCKCCTCTGCTCCCAACTCCCTTCCAGCGCCTCCTCCCAAAATCCCGCACGGCAGCGAAGGAGCAGCCGAGACCCCCGGGACACCACGGGGGCCGTTCCTTCTGCTCCATCCATGCTGGGGCTCGGGGCAGCCTGCAGGACCCTCGGGGTGGGCGAGGATCCTCCCTGCCCTGCCTGCAGCTCGGGGCTCTGCGGCTCACGTGGCCTCCACAAGGGAAATTTCCAAACTTTCCCAGCTGGGACCGCATGAGCCGAGCTCGACGGGCAGGTCAGGTCGGTGCGTCCGGGCTGCGCTGCCTGACTCACCCCGGTGCCTGTTAACGCACATCCCGGGATGGGGGGCTGGCTCCGGGGGGCTCCGGGACAGGCCCTGAACCCTCTCCCTCCCTCCCTCCATCCCTCCCTCCTTCCCTGCGGGTTCTCCGTGCTCTCGGCTTTGTTTTGTGGCTCATTAACTCCGTTTCTTAATGACACCGCCGATGTCACCCCCTCCCCGGCCCCCGGGAATTTTCATTCCTGAGGATTCACCGAGGAGGGGTGAGGTGTTGTTCCCATCGCAGCATCCCAGAGCTGGGAAAGGACCCTGACACCCCCACCCCGAGGAGCTTTTTCCGGATAAATCCTCTTCCCAGCAGGATGCTCGGTGGCTCCAGCCCCCCAAAATTTCAGTCCCCGTGGAAGGTGCCCAGCCACCCTCGTGTCCCCAAGGCGTGGGGTGGCCGGGCATTCCCCACCCGGCTCTGTCCCAGCCTTTCCTGGGAAAGACCCGGCGGATTTTTTTCCGCATCATTCGACCCGTTTGTCCGGCAGCTGCGGGGTCTGGCGGGGTCTGCTCTTTGAGGAGTTGCTCGAAGGTTTTTTTTAACCATTTCTCCGCTGTATCACACCCTTGGCCCGTCCAGGGGGTGCCGCCGCATTGAGACACCCACACCCACCGCCCTTATTCCCAGGAACGAGCCCTAAAAGCAGCCAAARGATGAGATTTTGGTGTTTTAAATAAATCCATCCCCAAGGCGGTGCGATGAACGGTGCATCCACGGAGGAGAGGAGCAGACACATTTGGTGGCAGGTGGGGACAAGGAGGGGGTGACCCCGATCCCGAAGGATCACGGATCCCCAGGCAGCCCCTCCGTGGCTCTGCCTCGCTCCTCTCCCGGCGACACCGCAGGCGCATTTCTCATCCTGGCTCGGAATTTCCCATCTTCTTTGGCTTCAAACGAACCCCTGCTTGCTGCTTTTACTCTGCCCTACATCTGGTGGCGGCGACTTCTCTGCCTCACCAAGGATGGGGTCACCTTTTGTCGCCAACCCCGCAGAGGGACATGTCCTGAGCGGGCGCGGGGAGCGGCCAGGCTCGGGATGTGCCCAGCCTCTGATGCCACATCCCTGTGACAAATGGCCACTCGTCCCCTGGCACAGCTCAGCCCCACCAGAGCCTTTCTGCTCAGCTCACAGAAAATTCCCCTCCTGGCACGGGATGTGTTTTGGAGGCCGGACCGGGGAAAGTCGCCGGCCAAGCGCGGCCGAGCCGGGGGAGGTGACAGTGCCAGGTGACAGTGCCAGGCGGGATGGCAGGAGCTCGGCCGGAGCCTCCAGAAGAGGGCACTAAACCAGGACCTGCCCGCGTCGCCTGTCCCCGCTCCTGGAAAAGATCCCCGGCAGCTGAAAACGCGAGGGGCAGCGGCGAGGGTGGGAAACAAATCCCTTTTTTCTTCTCCCTTTTGCCTGGCTGCGCAGAGCCAGCGAGGGCATTTCCAGGGTGCCCACCCTGCTGTGGGGATGTCCCCATGGGATGGCACCCATGGGTGCAGGACCCGGTCACAGCCCCCTGTCACCCGTGACAGTGTGGAAATCGGTTGTTTACGGGCCGAAGTGTTTCTCTCCAGGGCGGCTCTTGAGCAAAAATCTTGTTTCATCAGGGAAAAGAAAAAAAAAAAACAAACCAGCCTGATCCTTCCCCGTRTTTGTGATSAGTCCCGGGTGACCTCGGGCAAACCAAGCAGTGCCTCAGTTTCCCCTCTGGAGCCCGAGTCCCTTCTCTTTTTGGCCGCGCCACTCAATTGTCAGCTCAGAACWGAATRTGGGGACATTTGGGGTGTCCCCACGGCTCTTCCTGCCTCTGGCCTCACTTCCCTCGCAGCCAGGAGCGTTACCAGCCGTGGTTGTGTTTTTTTTGGGGGGGAGATGAGAGATAATAATTTGTGGTCTGTGAAATGTCACAGCCGCCGTCGCATCCCGAGGCGGCGGCGCTCGCCACAGGCTCTCGATCCACAGGAAATCCCTCAGCCGGGGGAATTCAGGCACCCACCAGACCCCGGTTGTGGTGCCTGCCGGAGGATTGAAATTCCCCCACGGCTTTCATCGAAGGGGGGGATCTTTAATTAGCACAAAACCTTGAGGTTTAATTGGGCCTGAGYGCGTCCCTCTGCTTGTCCCACCGGCTCTGGTGAGCGCTGGGGGATGCTCCGGCATCCCCAAAATTCCTCCTGCCCTGGAAAGGTGCTTCAAAACTTGGAATTGGAATTTTTTTTCCTCCCAGAAATTTCGCCTTCGGGCAGCAGCGAGTCTTTTGGGGTGCAGGGAGCGGGATGAGCCCGGCCCGCCGCCCTCCCCGCGGCTCCACATCCCGCTCCAGCCCCGGCTCCGGATCGGGGCCGCGGCGTTGACTCATGAGCCGACCTTGCGCGCCTCCAACCCCGATCCACCCAGCTGGAAAATCGGGTTGGACTGGGCCCCGGCGGCGAGGGAAAGGCTGCGGCTGGGACGGGAGGCGGCCGAGGGCTGCGGGCAGAGCGCGGGGCCGGCCCGAGTCCCCGGGTGTCACTTGACGGTGACCGAAGCAGCTGCCGGCCTCCCGCCCACCTCCGCTGGGACATCATTAATCTTGGCAGAGAAGCATCAGGGCTCCCATCAGGAGAACATTGGCGCTGATGAAGCTGATAAATTACAGCCGGGGGGCCGGGGGAGGAAGGGCAGCAGCTTTCGGGGGGTGCGCAGGAGGCCGCGGCAGCGCTGGGAAACCTGTGGGATCACAGGGATGCCGAAGCTGCCCCAGCGCAGCGCTCGCCTCGTGCCTCAGTTTCCCCATCGGGCGCTCCGGGCTCAGGCGGCCGCGCACGTGTGGGTGGCAGCGGGCACTCCTCTTCCTCCGGCGGCTGCTCAGATAAGGGCCAAGTGGGATGATTTAATCCTTTGGGAAATGAGCTTGAAAACGGACCAAGGCGCGGATGAAACGCCCTATTGTTGTGGCAGGGAAAGGGGACAGTGGCGCGGTGACATCGGTCCCTTTCCCGGCCGGCCCCCTRCCCCTTTCCCGGCTCCGCCATCCCGGTGACTCAGAGTCCCCAGCCCCGGGAGCCAGCCGGGGTGATTTTTGGGATGGTTGGCACGGGGATGTCACCCCTTGCTGGGAATCGGTCACGCCGGGATGGGGCACCCGCTCCGGGGATGCACCCAAAAGTTGGGTTTGGTGTGGGGAGGGGATCCGGACCCCCAAATTCGGCATCCCCCCGGTGATCCCCCCCGTCTTTACCGCACCGGCGGCTGCCCCGGGGCTTCCCCTACTCGGGCACAGCCGCTCAGGTAGGAAAGTAGGTCAGGAAAAACCCAAAGCCCGGCCCCAAACACAGGGCGAGAGCCGGGGCCGGCGCCGGCAGCCCCGCAGAGGCTCTGCCTCCCCCGGCTCCTTTCATCCGCSCCTCTCCGGAGGCTCCGAGCACATCAGTGACAGCTCCGGCGCCCCTGGGAGTCGCGGGGTGCTGCATGTCGCTGTCACCCCGGTCCCGGGCGGCCCCGGCTGCTCTCCCGTGGGTTTTCCCGAGCGCTTTGAAACCCTCCGGATGAAAGGCACCCGGCAAAGGCTGCGGGCGCCGCGGGAACGGCCTCCCCCCGAGGCTCCATCCCTCGGTGCCACCTTCAGCGGGACCCCCAGCGCTGAGGGGGCTGGGCTGAGACCCCGAAATGAGGAGCTGCCCTCGTTGCCGAGGTGGAATTGGGGGATGGAGGCGTTCGTGGCTCCGTGTCGCGGCTGGTGCTGACCCCACTGCAGGACACTGGGGCTGACCTTGCTCTCGGCTCGGTTTGGGGGTGCCAGGGGGCACCTGGGACCCTCCAGCAGCAGCCCGATTCATTCCAGCACCTCATCCCAGCTGGAATGAGGGATGCAGGGTCCTTCCCGAGCATCCCGTGACCTCYTTCCCGGGCCCTGGAGCGTCCCAGCCGCGCTCTCGCAGCTCCACGAGGTCACAGGGCGCGGAGCCGTCACCACCAGAACCTCCGGAGCTTTTTTTGGAGCTCGGAGCCCGAGGTGGGGAGCAGCTGGGGAGCTCCAGCAGCTCCCCAAGCCATCACACCCCACGCAGGTGATGCAGCAGCTCAGGTTTTTGCTCAGCACTTTTTTTTTTTTT